CTGTTTTCCATTTAATCTTCCTATTCTAATAAAAAGATCAAAGTTTAAATAGCATGTTTTAAATGGAACAAAGATATCTTCTATACATTATTATGCTTCAAAAAACAAAACATACCTGAAACTATTTCCTATCATTTCTTTTGTCTTTAAGATTTTACTATATTAAGTCTATTATCACTTCTTCCTTTTTTTCTTTATCGTTGAAAATAAAATTTATTTCATACAATCTGTCTGTCTAAGTGAGTGTATTATTGGCATTGTATACCATTTTTTGATATATAAAAAAAAGAAATTATTTATTTTAATTAATTTTAGAAATTAATTACTTTAAAAATTTAATAATTTCATAAAACAATTCAATTCTTTTTTTTTAAATTATAAATTATAAAATTCGAAAAATAAAATAATCAACATTATGCAGATGTTTATATAAGGCTTTTTATTTTATACTTTGAAATTAAAATATTTTAAATGCGATAGTCACTTTATACTTCTATAGGATTTTAATTATTCATTTTATAACTACATTTATTTGTTGATCAAAAATCATTCATTCAATATGTAAATGTATTGTTGATAGATATGATTTGAATAACTTATTTTCTTGGATAATTTTGCTTGTTAAGATTGTTGTTTATAATTAACGTTATTTATAGAAAAGTATGTTCGTTGATTTTTAATTCATTATATAAAATGTTTTAATTAATCTTATAAATTATAACTAAGTACAAGATGTTTTAATTAATCGTATGAATTATAACTAAATATGTGCAACTTTTAATTACATATATTATTTATAAATTTAAATGTGTTAATTTAACAAAAAAAGAAATTGTCAAAATATTTTAGTAAAAAATAAGAAGAAATTTTATTTAAAATAAAATTCATTTCTATTTTTCTCTTTCTCTTAAATTCACTTTGAGATCTTTTTCTTCGTCTTCTTCTTTTCATATGCAACAATCATTCTATACTATATTTTATTCTTATCATTTTGCAAATTTAATAAATTCTATTTTTAGCTCTTCCATTTCTTTTTTAGCTGTCAGTAATTTTGAGATTTTTAATGCTTAAAAAATTGAATTACTTCAAAAGAATAAATGGATTTTAGGGAAAGTTTTTATTCTTCTCCGATAATTGACAGTATTTTTTTCCTTTTTTTGATAGTATTTCTTTTTTTAAACAAAATAATAAAATTTTTTGAAAATGAAAAAGCTGTAAATGAAAAAGCTTAAAATAAGGAAGTTTGAAGGCTTTCATTAATTTTTAATTAACAATTTTCTAAAAGAGAAAGTTAATAACTGCTTGAAATGACATCTGAAACGAAAAAGAAATGGATAATATGATCTGGCAAGAAATTCCATTTTTAAATTATCAAATTTCTTAGAAGAAATACTAAAGAATGCTAAAGAAGCAAATGAGAAGAAATAAAAGCAACAATTTTTTGATGTAAAGGAATCTTTTTAAATAATTTTAATTTACGAAGAAAATTTTCACAACGAAAGCCATTACTCTTTCATTGTTCTTCAGAAAAGCAATATGATCGATAACGGTATATTTTTAAAATTATAATATTTCATTAATCTTTCTTTTCAATGATAAACTTTTAGAAATTAATTTTTCGATTCATTGAATTAATATTTACAAATAAAACAAACATTGTAGGATAGAATGGATTTTCAAAATAGTTTGATAAGAAGGAAAATAAAATTAACATATTAAGTAATCTAGATTGGAAAGTTTGATAGATTGGCTACAAATAGAATTAATCAGATTATAACAATGCTATAGCAAAATGAACTTCCTATCTCTCAAAATCCTTAGTATTAGTTTTAGAGAAATAATAGCTATGCTTAAAAGCAAGCTTTCACAAAAAAATGGACATAATGAAATTGTTATACGATCAGCTAACTTACAATAATAACATTTCCCTTTTATTGATAGTTCAGGAAAGGCTTGATATTAATAGTTCAGGAAAGAGCTTATAAGCCTTCTAAATCTTATCATATGATTGATAACTTTTAACATCCTAAAACAATGCTAGAAGAAAACTTGTGCTAGAAGTTTGGTTGCTTTTTTAAAACGATAAATCAAAAACGTTCTATTACATATTGACTTAGGCCCTTATTCAAACATTTATTTTGACAGTCAATTCAATAACTTCAATTTTCCTAAAATGATTCTTTTACTAAATACAAACTTACACATATATAAGTATGCATATGTGTATATATAAACAATTCTAACTTAATTTTTTCCTTCTTTCCCACTCATTCAATCTTTTCCCATAAAAGATTATATACATTTTATATAGTTCGATGTATATATAATAAAGTTATTTCTCTTTTTCTAATTTAGAAATTGTGAAGTTTTCTTTTAATGAAATGAAAAAAATCAACTGATAAATTGATTCATTATCTATTTTCATTAATTTAAAACTATAGAATTTAAAGTATTCAAATATTTTAAAAATATTCAAAACAACTTTGACGTAAGTAATGTTGATAATATTTGATTCATTAGTTCGTATTTCACATTGTCGTGCTATTTTTGACATTGCTTAACATAATACTTATATGTATATATTTTAAATGGCTTATCTCAACAAAAGCGGTTAAATTAGTAATCTCAGTTCCCTGTTTTCCTTCTTCAATGCCAATAATATCTTGACAGATGAAACATGTTAGCCTGATTGAACCATATCCGCTCATGAGAATTCTCCTATCAAAAATACTCTAATTAGCTTTATCCTCCAAAGAATAAAAATAAACTTTTTGTTTTTGTTTCTGAACTTTAATATTTTGCAAAACAAATCGTGTTTTTAATAATTTATTACATCATTACTTTTCATCTTCTCATAAATCAAATAATCTGTAAAATGTTGCAAAACATTTTTTAATTTCCGTCAATCAAAATGAATCAATCATTTTTCAGTTATATTAAAAATACATGGAAACTGAGATTATTATGAAATTATTCAATTAGTGACAATGCAATTATCTAATCTCAATGATTGGAATTGATGAGATATTTAAATATTTATCTAAGGTAAATCAGTGATGATCGCTGGACGTTTGCGCAACAATTTACGCAATGGTACAGTCCAACAAACTGGTCAGTAATATTTCTTTTAATTATTTTATCTGTTGCTAATTTTATTTCATTATTATCCTAAACTTCCTTCGTTCAGCAAGTTTGATGTGAAAATTGGAAATAGAAGGACAGCATAAATATTTCTTTTTAATTATACCTTTCAAATAAAATTTATTTGAAAATTTTATTGCGACAACTTTAAGCAATTGATCTTTTCCAACTAATCGATATATCACTTCTATTACATAATTGTTTAGTAAAATTTTGTCATTTCATAAATCATTATGTTTGTAGGAAATATTATGAAAAATAATTACTTGCTTCCAGTTAAAGTCCATATAATATAACTTAAAAAATGTAAACTTATTTGGATGAGATTCGGATTAAGAACTTATTTTATTCTCAAATGAAATTTGTACTGATTAATTAAGATCAATAAGTTTCACATCAACTTTTTATTTATCTAGCGAAGTTATCCCGTTCATGAAAAAATCTATCTGATAAATATGAAACTCTAAAGAAGCTCTAATCAGATTGAATTGCATTTCATTGTCAAAATAAAGATGATTGATTGCATAATGCTTCCTAAACTTCAATACAATCTTAATTTCACTTTCATAGTTTATTTCTTTTATTAATAAAACAAAGTAAAAAATTCTCTTCGTATTTTATATGAAATGAAATCATTGCTATTTATTCCATTTTCCATTTTCATTTCCTCCACTATTTATAATAATAATTATGCCGTATTTGATATGAAATGAAATGAACGAATGAAATGAATGAATGAATGGATGGAATGGAATGAAATGGAATGAATTGAAATGAATTGAATTGAAATGAAATGGAATGAAATGAAATGAAATCGTTGTTATTTGTTTAATTTTCCATTTTCATTTCCTTCATTATTTATAATAATAATCAAAAAGAAAAAAGAGAAAATGTAATTTCAAATTTTTTCTTTTCGCTTGAATAAAATTCTGAGAAATAATAGCGATTTGTTGTTGTTGAATTGTTGTTGAAATGAAATATTCTCATTCATTTGGCATTTTAAGTTCTTCACTTTCTTGCAATTCATTTAATTCTCTTTCCCTTCGAACTTCACAAACCATTTCAAACTCTTTTCAATTAATGAAATTGAATGGTAATCATTCCTTTTTTTCTTCCATTTTAATTTTTTATAATAAAGTCGCTCGTATTAATTATATTTAATTTTATTGAGATAATTCTTCAAAAATGAAATATTTGAGTATCATTTAAATGTGCAATACAAAAAATTAATCATTCAATACTGTAATTATTATTGTTTATTTTAACTTCAATTTTCAGTTATCACAAATGAAAGTTAATTGCAATGAAATTTACATATACTTAAAAAGTTTTTCAAATAGTTAAATGAATGAGTGATTAATGATGTATATATTCGTCGATTAATTCCAATTAATTCTAGTAGCCAATGAAAATAATAGATGGTTTTTTACAAAGAGGGAAAAACAACGAAACTGTATTAATAAAAATAAAAATAGAAATTTATCACGTGAAGGAAATCGTACAGGTGATGATCGGACTGGTTGGAATAATGCAAAAGAGATCGTTAAGTGTGTCTTTTCTTTTTATTTTCTTTAAAGTGGACTTTTTCTACAAAAATAGTTTAAATACTTTTATCAAAATTTTTGAAATAATCACGAATTATCATTTATTATCATTGAAATATAATGAAATAGTTAAAAATGGTTCATCAAAATAGTATAATTTCGTAGTTTTCGACTAAAAACATTAATATGAAAATTTCAATTATCTGAATAGTTTATATTTTGAATACATATTACTTGAATAGATAAATAGGCAGAGAAAATAATAGTTATAAAATATTATTAAATAATGGATATTTTAGTAATTCTAACTCTGAAATGGATACACAATTGGCATTAATTGAAACTACGAACATTTTCGATTTTCATTTACTTCTAAATATTGGTGGTACACATTTTCGCATTCGTTATTCAACCATACAGGTACGTATTAAAAATTAAATTTTCATATCAATATTTAAAATTGAACAGAAAGCTTCTCTATCGTTCCCAATTATAATTTACCTATTGAATGAAATATTACAGTATCGATGTCCAACATCACTGTTAGCTGAATTCTGTCGAGAAACACATGCAGCACGAATGGAAAGTTGTAATGGTTATTTATCTGATACAAGAGAATATTTTTTCGAGCGTTCTGGAAAATTATTTGAACCAATTTATGATTTTCTAACAACTGGACATTTTCATCGAACAAGTGACATTTGTTATGAAAGGCTCTTCAAAGAACTGGATTTTTGGAGAATTAAAAAGTTATTAAAAATTTTCTTTTCTTTGTTCGCCGATATTTTTTCGATGATTAATAGGATTGGATATTGTTTTTGATCAGAATTTCGAAATTTTATCTTTGATAATTTAAAAAAAAAAAGCAATAAATCAATATCAGAAATGATCATTAATGAGAAGTGATCGAAATTTTAATAATTATAAAAAAATTTTTTGCTAATTTTTTTTAATTGAGATATTAGTATATTAGTGTATGTAGCAAATTTAGTAATGATTGAACAATTGATCCGTACGACTGACTATGAGAGATAATCAATTTTGATTAAAATATGTATCACATCTCTTGTGATTTTTCTTTTCTTTAATTTAATTTTACTTATGGTATAAATGGAACAACGAAAATTAATCAAATAATTAATTTAATCAAAATAATCTACTTGATAAAAATTAACTTGCAGAACTCTTTCATTTAATTAAAGAATTGCTCTTTTGTTTTATAGTAATAAATGAATACATATTTGAATCAAATGTAAATAAAGCTTAAATTCATATTTGAATAATATTTGAAAACTTATATATTAACACATAGTAATAATGCCGGAATTGTTGAATTTGCAATTTGATGATATAGCATATTACTAATTTCTAATGATAATAATACAATCATTTTCGTCTATCAAATCAAATAAAACTACGTCCATCATTTAGGAATTTTTTTGCTCCATGCTGCATGTTGATCGATGAAAGTGATGAAGATGAATTAGCGAATGAAGATAAACATTCTATAACTTATGGTTCTTTTATTATTTAACTATTATTATTATTCATTATTGAGAAAGAAAAGAAAAGCTAAATAATGATCTAAATGACGGTACAACTACGATATGAAATACGAACCAATCATAGTTTAACACATTGCTTGTTTGATTTGCCGAGTTTTTTAGTGATCTCTAAATTAACTATTTAAACATTTCTCCTCTCAAAATATCTGTAAATTTATGATTGTAAACAAAATTTCTCAATACTTAAGTAAGAAGTAACATTGATTTATCGTTGCATTTGAAGATGATGATCATGGAGCTTGCTGGAATCATCAACGGCGTAAATTGTGGCTTCTAATGGAAGATCCCAACACAAGTACCGCAGCTAAGGTTACATTCTTCTGATTCTATTTAGAAACAATGAAAAGCTATGTAAACTTTTTAAATTTTACTTTATCTTTTATTTTTGAATGCAATGATAATAATGGGATTTTTTTCTATTCCTCAAATTTCTTTCTAATTAAAGTTATTTTCTTACCTGTCATTTATATTTATTATTTTTAGACAAATCAAACTTTTTCTTTCTAGCCTTTCAGATGAACTGTAGTATATTACAAATGCAATTTTGTTAATCAAATTGATATTTCATTTCAGTAATAAGAATAAAATGTTGAGTATGAGAGAGAGATAGGTATAAATATTGGTTTCACTATTATTACACTTATGCCAACTTATTATTATTATTATAGATATTTGCCCTTGTAAGCATAGTGATGGTAATAGTGTCAGTAACTGGTATGATACTTGGTTCAACACCGGAATGGCAGATTGCCAATCATTATAATGCGAGTGCTGCAGGTGGAAGAGTCGATTTTCGACTTCATTTCCCTTTAGAATTTATTGAATTGGTACGTTATGATCACAATTTATTGCATCACACGAATTTTTTCTTAAATATACGCATAATAATATCAAATATGAACTGAAAATTGGCTTTAATTGAAAAACCGATCAAAGGTATACTTTTACCGGATTAGCAGGTTTAGTTTCTTCCTCCTGAAAATAGTCCTTCAATTGGGTTCCTGGAAAAGCTACCGCTACTTCGAGAAATAATTAATTGAATTCCGGGAAAGATAGGGAAGATTTCAGTTTGTTCATCAAAAAGCTTGAACAATTTTCCAATCTCATCAATTAATACTGAAGAGAGTGGAAGAGGAAAGAATATCTATAAAATTAATATTTAACTCAAATTTTAAAGTTTCAAATTTAATTTTAGATTTGTGTGATATGGTTTACATTCGAATATTTTGCTCGATTTATTGTTTGTACGCGAAAGAAAGAATTTGTATTAGAACCATTGAATATCATTGATAGCTTAACAATCATACCATTTTATGTGGAGATTATACTTTCAGCTTGCGGTAATATTTTTGCATTTTCATTCATTGAATATTAACTTCAGAAATTTTAATTAGTAAAATGTTTAAGACTATAAATTTCAAGCACTACTGCGACTATTTATCCGGAACATCCGATTATTTCTATGAAATGCAATTTATTACTGATGACGGCACTATACTCCGTATCCCTTTTAAAAAAGGAAAAAATTATGAAATATTATTTATCATTTTGAAATATTACTGAAATATTACTTATCATTTTGTGCAATCCATTCTGTTCCAATGAAGAAATGGAATGAATGAATTAAACGAAATGACTTGGCGGATGAAATAGCCTAAACTAATTTCTAGTTTGAGCAAAACCGCATAGCAAAGCTTGTTTAGTAACATAAGATATTCATGAGTGGAAAATCAATACAAACTGGAGGTTAACATTATCAGTGATAAGGAATCAATACAAGAGTAATAGTGATGCAGAGATAATTAACTAATTTTAATTGTATTCCGTTAATTCCATCATTCAATCAATCACGAGGCTTGCAGTCACAATAGGATTACTTACTGATAGTGTTGATAAGCATAAAATTATAAATAGAATAATATTATCTGGGATAATTTTCATCCATAACAATCTATTAATATTATATTCATCTTACTGTAACAATATAAATGCAATACCTGTAATCATATTGATCATATTGATGTTACAGGTAATAAATACAATATTAAATTTCAACTTGACTTTTTTGGGAATTAAAAAATGATTCACTTTCTGTGCTTATATTTCTAATTTGCGCCGCTCTTTTTCATTGTTCTTCTTCGTGGCAGCTTTGGCTAATAAATTTAATATTTTATTAAAATAATTTGGTAAGAAAAAAAGATGGTTAATTAGGAATGCTTTGAGTGGAAAAATTCAAAGACTAATTAAATAAGTATGAATATATTTCTAATTAAAATGATTCATTTAGCGCAATTGTCATCATGGAGCGCAGTTGCCAATCAATTATTTCTAATTATAAAATAAGCATTACAGAATGCTTTTCCACTGTAACCAACCAATATAGCTCTATTCTATCCTAATTAATAAAGTAATCCAATTGCGCACAGCCTGAAATGGAAGTTTATTTTATTAAAACAACTTGATAAGGATAAAAAAGAAAAAATCGATAATTAATTAGGAATACTTTGAGTAGAAAAATTGAATTACATTTGTAATGAAATTATAATAGAATCTAATTCTTCCCGAACAATCCCATCCAAATAAAACGAACGTTTCTGTTTGTTTTACTTTGAAGTATTTTCTAATATTTCCCAAACATAATTCATTTCGTTTGCTTTCCATTGCAAAAATATTTACACACCAGCGTTCTTAAAAGTTTTCACTCTTTTCTTTATTTCTAAATCTCTTTTAATATTCTTGTAAGATGTTGAAAGTGATCCAATTATTTATATTTTGTATTTGATATTTGCATCGATGAAGATTCTAATTATGCAGTAATAATTCTTGATGGTAATTTCAGAGTTTGAAATTTATTATTAATTCCTAGAAAGTGATCTGATTTAATAATTGAGTTCATAATATATCTTGATAAACAGGTTAACAAATAATTAAGCGAAGAGAAAAATATGAAAACGTCCAAGAGAAATTTCCTGTCTATTATTTACTACATCGTTGAAAAACTGCATGAGATGATAAGGGCTTTTGTGATATGATATGAGATGAGATGAAATAAAGAGTTTTGCAAAATATCACTTGAAATTAATTTAGGCTTTGGAATGCATACATTTGGTGAGTTTCGTGGCCTAGCGATGGTTATGCGCGTTGTGCGAATAATGCGAGTAGCAAGAATATTTAAGCTTGCACGCTATTCCAGTGGCCTAAAATCATTTGGTGTTACTGTTAAGACTAGGTAAGTAAATAAATCCTAGCAATAATACCATTATTATGTGACGATAATTGGAAACTTTCAATAATATTTTAACTTGTCGAATTACTTATCAATTGTTGTAACATTTGCAGTCTCCCGGAATTATCAATGCTTATATTGTTTTTGTTAACAACAGTAATTTTCTTTTCAACTTTAATGTATTTCGCTGAACGTGATGAACCAAATACAAAATTTAAATCAATTCCACATGCCGGCTGGTGGTAAGTTTCATTATTTTGCTGCACTTTCTGAATTCAGATTATATTAGTAAGCATATTTTATAAGTAAGCATACGTTCACATTTCCTTCGATTCATAAATACCGAAGTAAAATGAATAATATTCGTAATGAATAATCTCTTAAAGAGCACTGAATGATGAAAACCAGACATTTCCCTTAGATAGATTTTATAATCGCAATTGTCAATAAGTAAGAATAGTTGTTATGATTATTTAATAAGATCAGCAAGATCTATAATTCATGATAGATACTGTTTAATCCAATCTGATAATTTAAATTTGTTGGTTAAAGATTTCCAACAGAATACATATTTCTCAATAATTCTTTCACTGTTACTCGCACCAATCTATATTGCAATTGATTATGATTTATTTCGATGAGATTTTATAAGCGCAATTGTCGATAAGGCTTGCAAATAAATCAGTAAATGATTTTAAAATCTTAATTAACTCTTACCTTTAGGTGTATTGTTACGATGACAACTGTTGGTTATGGTGATTACTATCCAGAAACATTATGTAATTTTCATTTATTTGCGAACATTTTTTTAATACATTTTCATATTACTTTTTCAGTCAAAACAAACTTTATATGAAATTTTTTTTGTTTTTAATAAAATTTTGAAAATTCAAATTATTTCTTTCTTCTTTCAGTTGGTAAATTAATTGCCAGCTGTGCTAGTATATCTGGTGTATTGGTACTTGCATTTCCAATAACTATGATCGTTGAAAATTTCTCCCGTAATTATGATAGTGAAAAGAATCATTTCAAACGAACACAACGTCATCGAAGAATGGCAAGGGCTCATAATTAAGTAAAAGTAAATTATTATTTTTTTTTGACTTTTACTTTAGCAATTAACTTTATGATGAATCCATTAGTTCTTCATTTATTGGTCAGAAAAAATTTTAAATTTAATCAATTTAATCAGCTTACATCATTAAATGCATAATTCCGTATTCGTTTACAAAATACTTTATTGATGCTATCGTAAAATCGTTAGTGTTTGTTGATGATTGTAGTTTTTACAGGATATGCTCGGTAAGGCAGAGAAATTCACCTGTATGCCTATGTTTGACTTATAATGAAAATCAAATCAAAATATTGTCCAAACAATTTGATTCCTGCATACAGGTAAATGTCTTCATACATAAATTATCTTAATTAAAATGAATATGTTTGAAGACATTTACATTTACTACCTCGTCTTTTCATGTAAATAAAAGTATGTTCACTTTAGTTTGCTATTCACTGAAATTTCAATTCACTATGTTTTCGATATTTTGTATAAATAGAATAATAAGATATGGTCATAAAGCTTTCAAATTTAATTTCCTTCTTTTTCCTTTAAGTTATAATTCAAAAAATCTTTTGGACAATTTCTGGCAACAAAATGAATGCATTTAACTTTGAATCTGTTAGTTAATAAATGTTATATTTGATTTTCATGATTTGTTCATTGCATAATTTATACAATTTTTTTGTTGGGCATGAAGTATAAATTTAATAAAGATCAAACTCATGATATCCAAATTTTGCAAGTTGCATAATAATATCGTTAATAAAAGATAAACATATTGCCAATACAAACATTTCAATATAATCGTAATATACCGTGTCTCCAACGATATTTAACGCTTTCTTGAGTTGCATTGAAAATTGACAGTATCAAAGAATGTACGTTATCACCATTATCAGTACATGTGATAAGGTCACATGTGACTAATTTAATGCTTTATCATCAAGCACTTGAAGCTATTTTTACGATGCATAAAAGAACTGTTAAAATTTGCTTTATGATAACATTCTATAAAATAGCCTGTTGGAATCATGTTACACTCCAGATGATACCATATTGCTTTCACACAGATGAGCTGGAATATTTACTTGTGCTTTAATGCTTCTTATTTATTTGCAACTTTTCAAAGCTTTAAAAGGCAATTTGTTTGCATATTTTCTTTATAATTGAAACTAATCAAAAAACGATTATCTCGTGCTGATAGTTCTTACAGAATCCTTAGACGATGATAATGCAGTGTCTTTTTGCAATCAGATTTAAAAAAAAAAAAGAAAAACTAATAATTTAAAAATTTAGTGAAAATTAATCCCCACTTTGTAATTACTCACTAATTAGTGCCCATTTTTTTTCTTCTTACCTGTTTCATTAATTTTGATTCCTTACCTGTTCAATTTATTTTAACTTCTTGCATGTTTCATTAATATAAACATTTAATTCTCAACAAAGCTCATTCACCTAATGATTGCCATATTTCATTCACCCCAATATGGTGATGATACTTTTAACAAAAGCTTGCCATACACCTCTTTCACCCATATTAATTTCGTTGCCCTTTCTTAAATTTAGTTTTTCAATTCAAATTTAATTTATAGATCTATCGATCGGTCTCATATAAAGTTTTCCCAACACTTCGCAAATAATTTATATACGTGCAGGTGAACAAAGCACGCTTTTATACGTGCTTTGTTTCGTGAATTAAAAACCATATCACATTATGGAAGCATTATCAACAGTGACAAGTGGCTGTAAAACATATCCATTACGATCAAGCCTTTGCCGAAGTTCATCGATAGCTTTTGTTGGCGGTGATGTTGGTGATAAAACCGATGATGTGGAGGAAGATGAAACTATTCCGCTGGTCGAAGTTGAAAATGTGATAGCGGTAGGATGATGTGTTGATTCTGAAATATGAAATGGAATGTTATTGCAAGTTTCAGATATTATTCAAAAAAATTCCAGATTTTCAAAAACAATTTTTTTAGCTCGTTCGTATCTATGGTAATGCTGCTAGATTATTCTTACTCAATTCCTTTCTCATTTCAAAGAATAGTAAAAAATTCCTATAGTACAATTCATTCCTTCTCGGAAACAATTCTGAGTTTTGACAAGTGTCTCATTAATAATATAAATAAACGTTTCAACATAAAGTACAAGATTGTCAACAGATGCAGCTAACGACTACTACTGAAAAAAATTTAAGATGAGATAATGAAAACACTTTACAGGGATTCATTCTAATAGATGTGATAATATTAGTAAAATTATTGATACTGATGAAGATGCGTGAATAAAAAGAAAGAAGAAGAAAGGGTTGCACAGCCATTAATAATAAGAACTATTGAAATAATGAAATTTTAAAAACCCATCTATTACCAAGATAGCCTGATATATGATTTCAGGATGAATTAAAAAATCTAAATTAAAATTATAACTGTGATATTATAATAACTAAAACTAAACTGCCAACAAGCTATTAATACTATTGAATAGCAATTAATATTAATACTGAATGGCTCTGAAACTATCGAGAATTGCATTATACATTCGCATATATTTGGGAAATTTGCAGCAAGCTGGTTAATCTATCACGAAAAAAGATTAAATAGTTTATTTTCTGGAATATTAGTATTGAGTAATATGATATTCCAGTTATGGAGAACACACTATATACTTCCTCAAACAAAAAAGAAAAATAGCATTTATAAGTAGCAGACTTAATTCGCTAAGACTGAAAATGTTTAAAGAAAAAACAAATTTGACAAATCGCGTTTTCATACAAACAACGTATTATTGGCAGACAGCGCTTTTAGCTTAGGTGTCTTCTTTACCCCTACTACTATTATTTAAAATGATAATAATGAAAATAAAAAGAGATAGAAGATTGTGAGATGGTAATTTTGAAAAGTAATAAAGGTAGCAATTATTTCGTGACAATTTACAAGTAGTTGCGGTGAAAAATATGAGTGAACAGAGTGAAAAAGAGAAATCATCAATCCATTGAAATCAACAACAGCATAATTTTGAATTTTTGACTTACAAATATCAAGCTCAAAAAACATTTTGTGGATCGTGTAATTATGCATAGTATAATAGTTTCAATTAAGCAAAAAAAATTAGTCAAAAAAGTTTTTACTTGTAAAAGAAAGAGTGTCCAAAAAATATTCATTCTACATATCGCTGCTGATAATATTTACTACTATGAATATTAGTAAACACTGAGAAAGTATTGAAAGATACAACAACTGTCACCTCTGATTGATATTCGGCGTGAGAACTACACAAAGCAAGTAGTAGATCCGAATAGTCTGTGGTTAGTTTTACTTTAAAATTTAGATTGTAATTTGGCTTTTAAAGTAAAGGCTGAATTTATATTAATTAACGCTAACTACGAGATGATAAAAAATCGAATTAGGATTATACGATGAAGTTGGATAGCAAGGGAAGCGATAATGAATGGAGTGTACTTCAACATTAATCAGGACAAATAAAATAACCAAAAATACTTTTGACATCATTGTAAGCTTAATTTAATAAAATCTTAGAAAACGTAAACTGGTATTCTTAAAGCAATAGTGGAAATCTTCAAGATCAAATATTTAAATTAAATTATAATTTTTTAAAGAAATTTTTATTTTGCGAAAAAAATTTAATGAACAATTTTTTGCACAATATCATAAGCTTTAGGTCCTAATATAGTCAATAGACTATTTGAAGCTTTTAAAACTTCATTCTCAAATTCGAAACCAACCTTGCGGTGTTCCTTTGCGTTCCCAGTGATTCTTGAGTTTTGAAACAGATAACAACCCACAATCTGCTGTACCATTACTAACAGGTACTCCGTTAGGTGGTTTAATTGGTGATGCATATTTTTCGATGTTCGGTAAAATATCCGCAAAAGCAGGCCTAGATTTTGGATCATGATGCCAAGCTGATGTTATCATATAAAGAATATGAGCTGGGAATTGAACAGTTGGATGTGGGGGTAAGGGTGGGCGACCTGAAATCCAAACTTAAAAATTAAACTTTAATCTTAAGTAAGTGCCTATAATATAACATATTTTTAACCAAACTCGCAGTAACTATATTAATTAACACCTTTTAATTACTAACTTATCTCAATTCAGCTTTTTTTAGTGTTTTAGTGGTAGTACTGAATGTTTTAACCGCCATTAAAGCTATAACATTACTAGAACGTAATGCTAATGCAAATATTAGCAAATATTTTCAAACGTAAATTTTTTCAAAATGTTGATTGAAATGATAAAGCTTCAATGAGCTGAAAGTCTACACATGTTATTAAGAATTCCGCTGCAGATTAGGATCCAAACCTCGTTTATAAGCCATCTCAGCCGCAGCAGCAGCGGGTTTCAAGTGAGCGAACGGTAACTCTGCAGCATGAAGCTCCCAAATACATAAAGCATAACTGAATACATCTGCTTTTCGATCGTATCGACCACACTGAGTGAAAATTTCAGGTGCCATCCAGCGAAGATTCTGTAAAAGATTACTATAGCAAAATAGAAGTCTTCATATTTATTTTTATGAATATCATTGAAAAATAAAATACGCATGAGGAAGAAAAAAATTTCGCCACCAAAATCATAAAGAAATTCAGCCTCACAATTCTGAAAAGAATTATATAAAAATTCAAAAATTCACAAATAATTTGATCTCCTCCTATTCTCCTTTGGTTTTTGACCTCTATTAAGCTATTCAATTTTGCAATTTCATGACATACGCCCGGTTGTTTGGTCATATTCTCATCATCGTGTTGTGCCATAAAGCGTGATTCACCAAAATCCGCTACTACAGCATGTCCGTCGTCGTGAAGAAGAATATTGTGAGAATTGAGGTCCCGATGAATCACCGGTCGTTTAGCAAGCTCATGCAGGTATCGCATCCCACGTGCAACATCAATCCCTATATTAAGGCGCAAGGCCATTTCCAGAACCCTTCAATAACTTTTCTCATGTTAGTTCTATCAGTCAACAGTGTTCAGCTGCTTTAATATATTT